GGGTTTATTTCTGGGCTGTCTATTCTGTTCCATTGATCTATATGTCTCTTTTTGTGCCAACACCAGCTCTGTAGTATTGTCTGAAATCTGGGAGGGTTATTCCTCCCACTTAATTCTTTTTCTTCACTATTGCTTTGGCAATTCTGGGTCTTCTGTGATTCCATATAAATTTTAGGATTATTTGGTCTAGTTCTGTGAAAAATATCATGGGTAATTGAAAGAGATCATATTAAATATGTAGATAGCCTTGCGCAGTATGGCCATTTTAACAAAATGACAACCATATGATCCAGCAATCCCACTCCTGGACATATATCTGGAGGGAACTCTTTTGAGCTGCAAGATGGAGGGCCGTTCTCTGGCTATGGTCAGTCTTATTAACATCTGCTCCGGCCTTCAGGAGAGTGTCTGCACAGTCTAGTCTGTCAGCCAACACGCAATACATAAGTGGTGTTCTCCCAAACTGATCTTCTTTGTCTTTAAGAGCAGAGTTTCCTGTGCCTACAATGAGCTTGTGAAGAGCACCCTTATCTCCATTAATAGCAGCAGCATGAACTTGGGACGCTAATGAGGAACCAGTAAAGAACAAGCTCTCTGACTTGTTCATAGTCTTCTCAACAACTGGAGTCACCGTCGCCTCCTCCAGGACTCACGTCCTGGGGGCGGCTCCAGGAGGCACGACCCCCGCTGGGCCGCCCCTCCAGCCAGGCCAGGCCACTACATCCGGCTGGAACAGAGCACACCACGAGGAAACTAGCGGAACCCCCCCGGAAGGCCGCCCGAGGCTCTCGAGAAAGTATCTTTAATGTTCTAACAAGTGTTTAGCAGTTTCAAGGTTTTCAGAGCACTCCTTGTACATTATTTCCTTTGATCTTAATAGTGTAAACCCCTGATTTTATAGATAGTAGAAACACAGACTGAGATAATTCAAGTAAAATGCCTAAGGGGAGACGATTATTTGCTGAGGCCGGGCCAGAACCTGGCTCACCTAACTGGGTGGTTTGTAATTTTGGCTGTATATTGCCTTCACCTGAGTTTTTTTTTTAAAAAAAAAGGCCTTGGTCCCATCCCAGGTATTCTGAGTTCATCGGACTAGGGTGGAGCCCACTCAGCATTGTTTAAAAGCTCTCAAGGCAGTTCTGACGTTCAGCCAGGTTGAAAACAACTGCTCTAACTCACGTCTTGGTGTTCCTTCCCCCATCACAGGTATTTTCTTCATCTAATTAGAAAGCTCTTATATGGAAAAGGAAGAATCATTTTCCATTGCTCCAGAAGGCAGAATTATGATTAGTCCAAGTGAGAGAGAGTTACTTAGATGTGCAGTGGGAACCAGATGTATATCCTAAGAGAATTATTCTTGGAATTTATGTATCTTCTTCATTAATTTATCAAACATTTATGTGCCAGACACGTTGCTAAGCTCTGGTGATACAGGTATGAATAAGACATGGTTTCCCCCTTTCAGGGCTCACAGTTGAAAGGGCGGGTAGACTTAAATACCATTAAAGTAAATGGCATGTGTTACACATGTTGGGAGCTGTATAATTTCCTTCTTTAATTTGTTATATATAATATTTTATTTATTATTGTATTATTTGATTATTTTATTTTGGCAGTTGGGAGGTAATTAGGTTTATTTTTTAGAAGAGGTACTGGGGATTGAACCCAGGACCTTGTGCATGCTAAGCATGTGCTCTACCACTTGAGCTATACCCTCCCCCCTTAATTTGTTATATTTTTGTATTTTCAAATGGTCAACAGTGATTTTCTTACTAAGATATATTTATGCTGAGGATTTGAATATGTCACACAATAGTAGTCTTTACGTTAAGTATGTAATTCAAGAATAACAGGTAAAGTTAGTCTTTGCGTAGATATCTTTTCTTTAAATACTCCTAATAATAAACTTTGTAACAACGTTCAAACCATCTCGAGAGTTCATTCCTACATCTTTCTCTGAATTTTATTCTGTCGATTACTAAGCATAGGAAGATGATCTGTATTGGTTTTGTCAAGATTTTGTGTTGGTGAAAAAAATTTTGTAACATGGAGAAATTTTTCGATTTGAATTTCATGCCTCAGATCAACTTTGAAGTCAATTCTGTATACCACTCACTACATTTTCTTTATAGACATCATCTATTAAAAATAAAACATTGATACATTCCTATTGAAACAGCAGACACATTTTTCCTTATAGTTTATATCTGATCATCTGATAGAGGTATGTGCTGGATACTATGGAAACACCAAAAAGTTATTCTGGAAAAGGGGGGAGAGAGAGAGAGAGAGAGAGAAAGAGGAAGAGAGAAGAAATCAGGGTTTTTCAAAGTCGGTGGTGGAACAGAGCTGAGTTCTGAATGATAGGTAGTGTTTAGACTGAGTGGTGTGGACGTTCAGGCCACATTGGCCACGTTTAGGGAGATGGAAAAGTAGGACCCTGGTCATGGAACATGAGAAAAGATAAAAACTGGGCAGGGACTAGGACAAGATGGAATTTTCATGCAAAAAGAATTTGAACAGTAATTTCTTACATGTGGGAGTCCTCACAGTTCCAACAATCCTGTTCTCAATAGCAGTTATACAGGGATCTGGGAAAAATCATCATGTGCTGGAGAAAGTTTTATAGGGCTTAGCCAAAGCTGATTAATCTGGTGATACGTGAGGGTCCATTCATAGTTTTGATCCAAGCCCTAGGGGCTAAAACTCATGAATTAAAGTGTGAAATTTAATCGTGGTTATCAGTTAAGACCCTTTGAAAAATAGGTGATGTAGAAAGAGAGTTTGAATATATATTTCCAAGACTGGATAAGGTCATGCAGCCTCAGAGTCTAATTTAATTGGTAAGTGATCCACTCTTGATTTCAGCTTTCATAGTGGAGATAGAATTCCATCCTTCCATTCATGATTCATCTACTTGGTTCACTGAAACCATTCTCATCTTCTCTGAGTTGCCATATGCAATTCAGTTTGGCCATGATTGCCATCTTCATAATGTGAAAATGGTAGGAAAATCTGTAGAAGGGTTTAAAAATCCACTCCATCACTTGAGAGGGTTTTGGTATTCTGTAGCCTCTACTGAAAAGTTTTGTACTAGGGTTGCAAGTCTGGCTAGTTGATCTGCTTTGGAATAATTCAGGTTTAAATTCCTTTTATGCTGACAGGTTCGTGTAATGAATTGAGTCGGTTAATGTTCCTACTAAGGAGCATAGGAATTCATTTATTTGCAGCTTGAGTGATCCTGAGTTTTAAATATCCTTTGTTTTTGGAGAATGAAAGGTTTCATTGTCCACTGGTAGTTCCTAGGATCCACAGTAGTGTCCCCCATCCCACCCCACAGTTCTCTGTCCTAGCCAGGAGTATAACCAGCCCTACATTGAGAGAAATTGCTGCCAAAGTAGAATAGGTGGGACTAGTGAATGGATTTAAGGAAAGTACTTCCTATGGTACTTGTGATTATCTTTGTCAGATATGTCTCCCAAATGTTGAATATATCAATTGTGTTCCCATTTGTTTGACTAGCAGTTATTTAAAGATAGTGTCTGCTTGTGTAGAATATTAGCTCTAGCTATGACTACTTTTCTTCAATATAAACTAACTTGTCATCACTGTTACGTTTAATTTTTTTAATAGAGGGAAAAACCCCTCATGTTTCTGTTGTCACAAATACTAATGACATTTCAAAACTGAATACATATGCTTTACATAACCTAATTATGGGGTATACACAATTTTTATACTGCTTTTTATTGTGTGATTTCAATTATTTTTATTTATGGCATAATATTCTGCTGTGATATGTTATAATTTAATTGAACACTTCTGGATTTTGAGATTGCTTCCACTTTTTCCACTATAATAAGACTGCAGTGAAAATCTCTGAATTTTTATTTCTGGACTCTTTCTTTAGGATAAATTCTTAGAAATGGGATTACTTTCTATTTCTTTCAGAAGTAGAAGCTAATACAACTTTTAGTTTCTTTCTTGACCCTTTGAGAGAATTATATCTCTGCTCTTCTGAACAGCAAGGTAGATGGAAATTGAGATTTACATTTAGGGGAATACAGTAGTTCATTCCCCAATCCTGACTTTTCTGCTAATTATTAGCCTAGTTAGTTTCCTTATTTCGATATATAATACTTTCTATCACATGAAAAGCCTCTATATGCTTATTCTCCCTGCCACATTTACTTGAAATGCATATTGGCATTTTACATTTTGCATCATGTGCAGAACATGGCAGGTACATGTTCGTTATTTTCCCAGATGGAAAATGGAAATAAATTGGCTAAAATGATACGATCCTCTATAAGTGTTCTTATGTCAAATATTGGAGTCTTGCTCACAGCCAGATTTGGCTGGCAAAGAATATCTTGCCTACCTTCTCTTAGCTTTCCAGAGTGATTGTTGTTTAGCTTGAAAATGTGTATGCCATGTATGATAAATCATATAAAGACTATGAGTTACTTTGAATGTCACTCCTTTAATGGGGGTGACTTCAGCATTATCACCGAAGTATAGTTAGTAAACCTTCCTTCTGATTAAGGGTGATGGGAACCTTCCCTTTTCCTTAAATAGTGTTTTTCCTTTTTAAAGGCAAAAAAATACTAATTTTCTAATGACATTTTGGTCTTTTATCTTATTTGTCAAGAGCTGTCACTGAGATGAGGATCTGAGACAAATTATTTACTATTCATAAGCACCAGAATAGATTCTCCATAGCTCACTTACTAAAACCCAAAGGTCTGATGTCTTTATAATATAACTTTGGGCCGTGACCTTCAAACTTTAGAATTCTTAAAAACGCAGCATATCGGACAGTTCTTAGTTTTCATAAGGGGCCACTGAAATGGATAGTGCTGAGTAATCTAATGGATTTCTGAAAGCGTAGTGTGCTTTAGATACTGCTAAATCAATAAACATAACAGTCACTTAAGTGTGTATGTTATATAATATTGGGTTAATTATATTATAACTCAAATCCTTTTAGAATATTTGTCTTTCAAGTAGAATGCTAAAAATATAACTGAAGTGCTTATAAAAATAGAACCATGAGAAAAATGCAGAAGTATAGTATATATATTTTTTAGCTAATGTTAATATTTGGAGTTAGCTACAGATTCTGTCATAAACATCAGTTTATGAACCATGAAATACCATGTTTCAGAAGCACTTACATTTTGAGATTGACAATAAAAATAAATAGCTGGGTTTAGTGTTACTGAATTGTTCTTTGATTCTTGAGTCCAATAAAAGCCTGTATTGAATTTTTTAGTAGTTGCTTCATATAACATAAGTAGCTGGTCAATGTTGCATAAGTAAAAATATATTTGGAGCACATATGTATTTTATATCAGAGTTGTTTTGGGTGGAAATTACAAAATCAATATTGGAAAGCTTTTAAAAAATGCAATAAAATTTCTTACTTGTTTAGATACTCGTAACTGAGAAGACGATGAAATTTAAAATTTTGTGATTTTTTTTTCACATTTTCTTTGCTTTTGTGCCAAGCCTCTTCCCATCTCAACTTTCTGGTCTGCTGAGAACCAGACCCCTCTGGCACCTGATAATCTGTTTTGATGTGCTTGCTCTAAGAATACCCTCCTTTATTTGTTGGTTACAACACTCCATTCATTTTAACTTAGTCAAATTTATATGTATAATTCTTTGCATCATAAATTTAGTTTGAGTCTTTATTTTTTGTAGTGTAGAGAAGAGTTTTATCTGAGCCAAATAGCACTGGCCCGGAAGCCCACTTCCCAGGT